ATTCAAATTTTTTTTGTTCTTTTTTTTAAATTTCATATCAATCAAAATCAGACGAACTAGATGAATTAATTGTTTAAATTTTGACAGAAATTTGATTCAAAATTATTGTTTTTCCCAAGCTAGCTAGTTACAGGTTACTGGTTACACCAGTTACCAAGATTCAAAATGGATTCTTCTTTCTGCTTATTATTTTACCTCTACACCAGTTATCCATCAGTCACACATTGCCATATCTTCTTCACAAAAGCCAACACTCCTTTCTTGAAATTTGTCACTAAAACCAACTTTCCCTACAAACTTTTCCATCCATTTTTCTTGCAAAAACCAAAAATGGGTTTTCTCTCTGTTCTCTCTTCCATTTTCCTTATCATCCTTATATTAACATTCCCACAACAAAGGGTTTCTTCTGAAGCCATTAATGATAGTACTAAAACTTCTTTATCTTTGCTTATGACTATCAAAGCTTCTTTGGACCCAAAAAGCCTCATTCTTTCATCATGGTCACCTACTTCTACTGACCCATGCAATGATTCTTTTGAAGGTATTGCTTGTAATGAGCTTGGTCAAGTTGTTAACATTTCTTTGCAAGGCAAAGATCTTACTGGAAAAATCCCACCTGAGATTGGTCAGCTTCAAAGCCTGTCTGGATTGTACTTGCACTTTAATAATCTACATGGGGTTGTACCTAAAGAAATTGCCAACTTAACTCAGCTCTCAGATTTGTATCTTAATGTGAATAATCTCTCTGGTGTTATTCCTCCTGAGGTTGGCAACATGTCTAGTCTTCAAGGTAGGTTCTTTTTTGCTTTCCTGTTTTGGCTAGTTATGGTAAAAAGCCTCAGTCTTGATGCTTAGTTTTGACTTAATTTGAATGAATGTTTGAACTTTGCCAAATAGATCTATACCTCTATTAATGAAATGGGTAGCTCAATAAAGAGTCCAATAAGTGATAATGCTGTTAGTTATTGAGTAATTTCACAATGCCTATGGCTTTTCTTGAAAAAAGATTGGATTTTTAGTACTCATTAGTCATTGAAAGTCTATATTAAAAAGGTTCTTGAAGTATCTTTTATGAGGTGATTTTTGTTCCTATGTAGCTTACAGCTAGGTGCTTAGAACATGAAACACTTGAAAAAGCCTCCATCTTTGGTTTTATGTTAAGCTTTTCTCTGTCATTTGTCTCTTTCCCCATTGATTTGAGCTTCAATATGGGCTAATGCTTGAATAAAGTTTCAACTTTCCTGGCAAACTTGCAAATTTCTTAGTCTCTTGTTTGGGTGGTTTTTTCTGCATTTTTGGTGGAATAAATCTCAAATAAAAGTAACCAAGCTCCATTTGTTTTCTGTTTTTACAGTGCTGCAACTATGTTATAACCAGTTGACTGGAAGTATACCTAATCAACTTGGAGCTTTGAAGAAACTGAGTGTTCTTGCTTTGCAAGTCAATCAGTTAACTGGAGCAATTCCTGCAAGCTTGGGGCATTTGGAGATGTTAACCAGGCTTGACTTGAGCTTCAATAATCTTTTCGGGTCGATTCCAGTGAAACTCGCGGATGCTCCAAAGCTAGAAGTTCTTGATATCAGAAATAATACCCTTTCTGGCAATGTCCCTCAAGGTAGTTCTATTTGATTTTCTTGATAGTACCTTTAATCCTATTTCATTGCTTAATATGCTTAAGAAATGAAGAAATCTTAGGTTCTTTGATTCCCCCTAATATCAATCCAAATGCTTACTAATATTAGACATTATAGTAGAACTAACTCTCTTTTTGGTCTTTTTGGTTTGGGCAATGGATGAAATGAAGCCTTGAAGAGACTGAATGAAGGATTTCAGTATGCAAACAACCCAGACTTGTGTGGAATTGAATTTTCTTCCTTGAAACTCTGCACTGTATCTAGTCTAAACCAAAACAGACCACAACCATTTGAACCTGGTTCGAATCGTCTTCCCACAAAAGACATTCCAGAGTCTGCAAATGTACAAACAAAACAAATGAGTCGGTCAAGAAAATCACAAACTGCTGTGGTTGTTGGTGTTATTGCACTTTTTGTTGCAGTAGCAGTAACTGGACTTTTCACATTTTCGTTGTACCGTCGAAGGAAACAGAAAATTGGACGTACTCTTGATACCTCCGATAGGCGACTCAGTACTGATGAGGTGAAGGAGATCTCTAGAAGAAGCGCGTCGCCCCTCATCAGCCTGGAATATTCCAATGGCTGGGATCCTCTAGGCAAAGGCCGAGGTGGAAGTGCTTTCTCTCAGGAAGTATTTGAGAGCTTTATGTTCAATTTGGATGAAGTTGAGTCAGCTACACAGTACTTTTCAGAAGCAAACTTGTTAGGCAAGAGTAATTTCACAGCTGTTTATAAAGGGACATTGAGGGATGGGTCTGTTGTTGCTATTAAGTGCATTTCCAAGACTAGCTGCAAGTCAGATGAAACTGAATTTCTCAAGGGACTAAAGCTCTTAACCTCATTGAAACATGAAAATCTTCTGAGGTTGAGAGGCTTTTGTTGTTCAAAAGGTAGGGGGGAATGCTTTCTGATCTACGATTTCGTTCCAAATGGAAATTTGTTGCAGTATCTTGACGTGAAGGATGGAAAAGGAAAGGTCCTTGATTGGTCTACCAGACTATCTATAATCAAAGGCATCGCCAGAGGTGAGCTACTGTTTGATTATTGTCTCATGTTTGATGTTTTCTTTATATCTCTTTGACGACCAGATTTGAATAATATCTGTTATCTATTGTTTAACAGGTATTCATTACTTGCATGGAAACAAGGGAGGCAAACCTGCTCTAGTCCATCGAAATATATCAGCTGAAAAAATACTTGTCGATCAACACTACAACCCATTGCTCTCGGATTCTGGTCTGCACAAACTACTAGCAGATGACATTGTCTTCTCAACTCTCAAGGAAAGTGCTGCAATGGGCTATCTAGCTCCAGAGTATACAACCACTGGCAGGTTCACCGAAAAGAGTGATCTCTATGCATTTGGCATGATCATATTTCAGATTCTCTCCGGAAGACGTAAAATCACCCCTTCTAACCATCAAGGGGCAGAGTTCTGCAGATTTGAAGACTTCATTGATCCGAATCTTTGGGGCAACTTTGTTGAAGCGGAGGCAGTTCAGATGGCAAAGGTAGCTCTACTTTGCACGCACGAGTCACCAAATCAGAGGCCAGACATTGAAATAGTCATGCAAGAACTGAATGATTTAACCTCCAGCAAGTCGTAAAAGCTATTGCAAACAACATCTAAGTTCTCCAATGACCCATTAGGAGCCTGATACTAACTTCTTACTGATGCCAGGAGTAGGCACTCTTTTCCCATCCTTTTGATCCTGCATGACTTGTGCCTGAGGACGACACATGAATGTCAGGTGCCTGTTCCACATAGTTTAGTACTAATGCACCTCGACGTAGGTAGCCTCAAGTGATCAGTTCTCTTGTATTATGTAACTTAACCATAATTCTAAGCAAGTTTTCTCCACTTGCAAACTAGTGTACCAGAAGTGCAATTTCTATTTAGTATCATATATGACCTCTTGCTATATGGAGTACTACCTTCATAGTACAAGTCATGTAGTTAACAACCAAGAGATCACTATCACATTTTAGCCTTTCTTGTTATCAAGAAGTAAAAAAACACAAAATCATATGAAATGTACTACAAAAAACAGTAACTCTACCCCATCTGCAATCTCATAAAAGGGAATAAAAGAAAAGAAAGAGAATATATAATGAAATGGAGTATCCTAGGCTATGAATTTTGGACATATGTCAAATTGAGCACTCCAAATTGATAGCACTGAATGGTCCAACTTACTCTCCAGAATAGGCATGATGTAACCAAAAGTCAAGATGGCAAAACAACTTCATACTCCAGCTAACATCCAAATTCTTCTAATCCCAAACATGTGATCTTCTGACGTTTGATTCCACCACCACAAATTTCCAAACAAGTAAATAAGTACAAAGTTTTGGCTGGAACCAACAAGGACATAATGCCACTCATCATCCAAGGGTGAAGTTCACAAGCTTGATTATGTGGTTTTCATTCTTTACGAAACAAGAATGAGGAAATAATACACGTTTAGTCTGGATTTAATTTATATACACTGACAATGTAAAATTTTAACCATCCAATATATTTTCAGTTAACTAATTCCACTTATTATAGACGGTTATCTTTAATGGATAGAAGTTAAGCTATTTCAATATTTTAAGACGAAGATAGGCTCTTGTGACCATTGACAAGAGAAGCTACTTTATATCTTCCGCCACTTTCTACTCTTGTGTTCCCTGTGAGTATTTTTTGTCCTTGGCAAAGTTGTCGCCCTTCTCTTGGACCTCCTACAAATCATACTGTAGGGACTTCTTTAATTAACTAATACTACTCCCTCTGTTTCAAATGATGTGACAGTATCTGATCACACACAAAATTTAAAATAAGAAAAGAACACTAGAAATTTATAGTCCAAAAACAAAGATTAAATATTTATGTGACCGTAAATATCTCGTTAAGGGGAAGATAAAGACAGACTAAAAAAGAAAATGTCTAATAATTGCAGTATGATTTTTTTGCTAAAATAATTCTTGGGAGTGGGAACCTAAGGTGGCTAGGAAATTCAGAGCTGTAGCCTATTGGAATAATATGACTTTCTCTTGTAGGCTAACTCTAGTTTCCTACTCTAGTTGATATCATGTACAGGGGTGACTACACATGTTTGCCTCACTGTAATTTGAAAAATCCACCTACCTGTCTATGGCCTAATTTGAAGAGGACGTGAAATAGTAAACCTTGGTAGGATTTCCAACTTGGTTATTCTGAAATAATTTTAGATCCTTCATTGATAACCAGCTTGAGAATCATTATGTGAAGGCATAGGGGAAGTTCATAATATTTTGTAAGTTTAGCCGTTTCAAAATCAACTTCAGACATACGAGTTTGAAGAAGGTAAAAGAGTGTTTAACTGTAGTTCTATATTGAACTTCTCTTATTAGATACATTGACTTAAATTTACAAGTTGCAGGATTGTTTTTCTTGGTGCTTTGCTAATTACAGAGGGACAGCTTAAAATAATTTTCCTGTCCAGAGCTAAAAGATGCTAATGACTAGTTAAATTTGGATTCGCGAATGGAGGTAAACTCCTTGAACACAAGGAGAGACCTCACAGCTATACACAAACCATCTGTAATGTGGAATATATTTCTTCAACTTGATCATGGGATTTGTCTCCTACAGAGAACTCATGGACAATTCCTTGGAGCTCAATCCTACTGCTGCCAACAGTTTTCTTCAGGTCCTTTTCTTTCATTATTGTTCGAACCCTTCTAACATAGTCCCACTTACCAAATTGAGCATATATGTTAGACAAAAGCACGTAGGAACTTGAATTATGAGAATTTAGTCCAACTAGTTGCTTATCCGTTGGGTCTCCAATGTGGACGTTTTCTTGATTCCTACATGAGCTTAGCAATGTTCGCCAAACTACATCATTAGGATGGATTGGCATTTCATCGACAAATTTGATGGCCTCTTCCACATGCCCTGCTCGACTAAGGATGTCAACCATGCATCCATAATGCTGGAGCTTAGGTTCCATACGATGTGCCCTTCTCATGATCTCAAAACAGATCATGCCTTCCTTTACCAGTCCAGAATGAGCACAGGCATTCAAAACCGCAATAAATGTGATATCATCTATATCTAGCGAAAGTCTTTCCATCTCCATGAACAATTCGAAAGCTACGTCCCCAAAGCCATGAATAGCCAAACCACCAATCATAGCATTCCAGTGATCAACATTTTTTTCTTGGATGTCATTGAACACACCCATTGCACTATCTACGCTGCCACATTTTGCATACATGTCTATCAAAGCTACACCAAGCTTTCCAGCCACAAGAAACCCATTCTCCTCTATACAACAGTGCAGTGCAATCCCTTCATCAATATAACCTAACTCTGCAACTGCAGAAAGCGCAAGCAACGTGGTGGTACTATCAGGAGCAAGACTACTCCCTCTTAACATATCGTGAAACACTTTTAATGCTTCAACGCAGTGCCCATTCTTGACATACCCAGCCATAATAGCATTGCAGGAAATCACATCTCTTACAGGCATGTCATCAAAATAACGTCTTGCAATATCAATCTTACCAATTTTTGCATACCCATCTACCATTATAGCCCAGCTAACAACATCCTTCTTCGGTATCATGTCAAATAAAGCAGTAGCCTTTTCAGCGTTTCCACTTTTAACACAACAATAAAGCATCAAATTCCAAGAAACCAAATCCCTTTCGGGCATTTTATCAAACAGTTCACAAGCAACATCAAACCCTTGATCCAATTTGACATACCCAGTCAGCATAGCATTCCAAGAAACCAAATTCCTCATCTCTATTGGCATAAAATCAAACAAACGACAAGCAACATCAAGCATTTCACATTTCACATACCCATCAATCATAGTATTATACGAAACAGAGTCTCTCATACACATTCTATCAAACACGTGGTGGCCATAGTCAACAAACCCACACCTCACATACATGGAAATCAAACAATTTTGCAAAAACACATCAGACCCAAATCCTATTTTCCTCAATAACCCATGAACCTGCATTCCTCGCTTAACAAAACCCATTCTTGAACACGCTTTCAAAACTATAGATAAAGAATACTCATCCACAAAAACCCCATTTTCAAGCATCAAACAGAAAACTTCAAAAGCCTTATACGGGTCATTTCCATGTGAAAATGACTTCATTATGACATTCCAGAGAAATGGGTCATTTTTATTTCGCTTTGAACAACAGAAATCGTCAGAAAAGAAGAGAAACCGAGCGAATTCAACGATGGGTGTGTGAGGGGAAGAAGATAACTTCAAGATAAGTTTTGTGGTAAAAAATGGATTTTTTACAAGTCCTGTGGTTATCAATTGAGCATGAATTTGATCAATGTCCACTTGTGTTTTGCATTTCTGGGAGAAAGTCAGTGTTGGGTGTGCTAAGTTCCATGCTTGACTTGAATTTGCTACAAGAAGCATCAGTTTTGGTGCTTTGAATTCTTTGTTCTTGAGCTATGTACAAAGAGTCAAGTGTTCGTTAATTTCTTTAACGGCCAATAAAGCGGTAAAGAGGATTGATAAGTGGATTTTGTCAGTAATTGGGCTATAACGAATGTCCGTCCATAAAAATATGGGAACTACATAAATAGGCCGCAAAATACAAAATAATTATAATTCTATAGCTCAATATAGACTAATTCAGTAAGTATCCATACACCTAAAATAAAGAGGAATTTTCACATATAGCCACTCAAAAATAGCTCAATTACTCTCCATAGTTATAGTTTGATAATTACAATTCGTAGCTACATGTTATAGAGAGGAGAGAGGCGAGCGAAATTGGGAGAGAGTAGAGAGGCGAGCGAGAGAGGTGAATTGTATATATATATCGGTTAGATAATTGTATATTATACATATGTATTTGTATATATGGCAAGCGAGATTGGGAGAGGGAGGAGAGAGGCGAGTGAGAGAGAGCAGAGAGTGGAAGAGAAGTGAATTGTATATGTATATTGGTTAGAAAACTGTATATTATACATATGCATTTGTATATATGACAAGCGAGATTGGAAGAGGGAGGAGAGAGGCGAGCGAGATTGGGAGAGGGAGGAGAGAGGTAAGCGAGAGAGGGCATAGAGTGGGAGAGAGGTGAATTGTATATGTATATCGGTTAGATAATTATATATTATACATATGTATTTGTATATTCTGGCGAATTATACATATACAAACGTGACTAATTATACAAACTCGAAGTCAACCCACATAATTAATGTCTAATGTTAGTCACGAGTGGTAATTATAGGAAGCTATAGCTATGATGAGTAATTAAGTAGTATAAGTTTGCTTAACCGCGCAATTTTCCCTAAAATAAATTGCATTCCATGTCCTCCTTTAGTTTAGGTCCAATTCCCTTTTAGCCTCTTTAAATTTAGGTCTAATTTCGCTCCAGTCTTTTAAATTTAGGCTCAATTCTTTTGTCCTATTAATTATTTTTTATCTTTTATCTCATTTATTGTTTTTGTCCTATCATTAATTATTTTTGTTCTTTCTCATTTATTAGTTTTTTTTTATTTTATCATTTGTTATTTTTATTCTTTTTTATACTATATACTCCTATAGTATCATTGATTAATGAGTAATTTCTTAAAAAAAAATCTTAATGATACTATATATATATACACTCTTACGGTATTAATGACTATGAGTAATTTCTGAACAAGAAATTTTAATTATACCACAACAATATATAAATATACTTGTATAATGACTAATGAGTAGGGTGTGAACAAGAAACCTTAATGATACCACAAAAATATGTTTATACTCTTATAGTATCATTGACTAATTAGTATGGTAGTATACATATATATATAAAATATAAGTTTAGCGAAATAATCAGTTGAGATATTTATTATAATTATTTAAGAGAACATCAATATAAAAGAATATATTTATTTATAATTAATCTGTATTTATGAGACATTTGCTAAGTTTCCCCGGTATGAATTGGATAGTCGGAATTGTATTGTTGGGTCGTAGAAATTGGATTGCTGTGTCGTAGTGAATTGGGCTTCGATTCAACGAGTGGGGAAAAATAGGGGTTGCACAAATAGGACAAGATATATATATTGCAATCCTAGCCGATTTAAATGGCCCGAATTAATACTAATTAATTAACAGGCTTATTAATTTTAATAAAATAAAATAGTTTATTTAATTATAAACTAAATAACTCAATATATAAACTTTTAATTCAAACAATACTAATCAACAAAATATTTAATTAAAAATAAAATCTTTTGAAATGATTTTCAAATATTTATAAAAAATTATAATATTAATGTTAAAACAACTTGAAAGCATTTTTGAGGAAAAAAGAAGAAAAAAAGATTGTCCATTTTGTTTTTATATAACCCTGTTAAACAAATTTTACTCGCTGATATTATTTTTATCGTCTATCGATTAAATCAATCTAGGTCCGCCCCGAGGAGGAGATCAAGATTTTAACAGATCCTGGCAAAGCTACGTACTAGCAAACAAATAAAGACACTATAATTACCATTTTCCCTACTTCTTCTTAATAATTTACAAAGTCTAGACTACTCTGAAATTTACAACAATTACTAGCAGTCAACAAAGTGGGATGTAAAAGGTACATATAAATTCCACCTAATGCAAAAATATCTCGTGAGATATATAGTCGAAGAGTGAACGACATTAACTGACTCGGACACCACTATAGTACTTTAATTTGTATTTGGAGAAGTGCTGACCCTGTAAAGATGTTCTTCCCCAGTGCATTCATCAACTTCAACAACCCAATGACTCCTCCTTCCACCACCAATATTTTTACCTTGTGAAACCCTAATTTTGCTAACTAATAACCCTTCTCCAATTGGTAGAAAATAACCTTTGTGATCAAAACTTAACTTAGGTCCTTCATGTAGGGCATTGTACCCTACAATAAATGCACTTTTAACATTAACACCTTGTTGTGCTGCTTCAAACACTAGTTGAAAATCCTCCAATTTGCAATCAATAAGTACAAAATCAGCTCCTTCATAGTTACATGCCAATAATGTTTTAACATCATCACCAATCACAAATTCAACAATTTTTGCATAGTCTCCCAATATTATTGTTTCTTTAATTGCATGCATTTCTTCCTCGCTACGTAATATACACACTACCCGGCCACCCGTTTGATGAGCCGCTGCTACTAACCCTAGTAGCGCGGATCCAGGGTGGCCGGAGCATGCCATCACCATGAGTTGTGAATTATTTCCACCCGCCATGGCTGATATAAACTCCGTTACATCAGGTGCTTTTCCTCTTTCACCCTAAATTTCCATAAATTCAAAACAATTTTTTTTAGTATATAATTGAAGATATATATACAAATTGTACAAGCGATCTGAACAGTAAGGATTCATATATTCAATTCAAACGTGTGTTGAATTGAGCTATACTAGCAATTATAATAAGTGAGTACTAATAATACTTACCATTTTGAGAGTTGTGAGAAAAGCATTGGTAGCATTTTCAGCAGACCAGCAATCCATTAATTCTTTCACAATTATGCTATAAGTGTTTTTTGGACTGTTTAAACAAAATTTATAGGAAGAGCTTGATCTAAATTTATAGTCAAGGAGACGAGATTAATTACTTTATAATTAATAATGAGGTTAACTTAGAATAAGAGTAATTGCATCGGAACAACTGAGGAAGGTATTTATGAGAAGTTTCAGCCATGCCAAATGGCATTAATTATTGAATCAAGATTTCAAATTTATTGACTAAACTAGAGAACGTCACTTTCTTAATAGTGTGTTACTTAGGAGTGTATTTTACGCGTTCATTTTTACTATTCACTATATTAAAAATAAAATATTACTTTTACTTCTCTATTTTAGGTATAAAAAAATGATTATTTTTCCTATTTTATCCTTGAAAATAATTTATTCATTTTCCAAGTCCAATGAAACTATACATAATTAATATGGATATTTTGATAAAATATTTACTTTATTTAGGTATATTTCTTAAACGGAAAAAGGACAAATGTACCCTGAACTATCGTAAATGATATGTAAATACACTCCGTCATACTTTTGGGACATTGGGCCCCTGCCGTCTAAAAACTAGAACATATATACCCTTTATACTAACTGACATACATGTATCATAATCTTATCCACCGACCCGACATTCATTAAATATCGGATCAACGGATAAGATTGCGCCACATTTACCTATTTAGTCTTCTGTTAGAGTGAAGGGCATATATACTCTAGTTTTGGACGGCAGGGGCACCAATATCCCAAAAGTATGACGGAGGGTACCATTTACGATAGTTCGAGGGTATATTGGTCATTTTTCCAAATGTTAAAAGAATTGTAAAATCTATTATAGACAAATAAAAATGAACAGTTGAAAAGTTATATTCGTATCAATGTATGCAACGAAGTAATAAGTGCATGCCATACACAAAAAGTTTATCGTTTGATCATGATTAATTCAACTTTCAAAAAAATTCTTTTTTCTATTTCAATTCAAATGGTGTTGAAACATTATACATTACTCTTATTTAGTACTTTTGTTGTCCCAATCTATATGGAGTAGATCAAGATATGAGGATCAAAGTACTTAAGTTAATTATGAATACAGATATAAATTCTTCAATTTTTTTTAAACATAATTTTTATATATTTGAAAACGGTACGGAAAGCATTATAATGTAACATAGCTAATAATTCAATAAACAAAAGTTTGAGAAAATTATGATGAAAGAAAAAACTATTTTACTTTTTAAATAGTACTTAACACATTTTATATACTTTAAATAAGACGAAATTAAAGGAATGTTAGCTCTATTTATCACTCAATAGTGGTAATTAAAATGATTTGATGTACACATACCAAATAATTAGTTGTTCCAATATTTTATATGTTTATGTTTCTTTCACTAAATTAATTATGGTTAATCCATTAGATACGTAGTTATTAGGACGACGAAAGGTTACGTTTGAAGAAAATTGATTCAATCTTTATATTTATTTTTTTGGTTAGGTCAAGTCACATGATTCAGCTCAACTCTTTCTTAAGAAAAAATATTAGAAATTCTATTTGTTATTTTTCTCATGCATGCTTTCATTGGATCAAATTAAAATTGTGGTCTTTTTCTTATGGAAAAAAATAATCACTTTAGTCTCTGAAAACGGAAAGTATCTTTCTTCTCATTTTGATTTTCTATGGCATGGCAAATAAACTAAGATATATATTTGGAGTAGATAACACCTAGCTAAACTACTTAAAGTATTTATATAGATAATTTTTTTAATTGAATTAGGTTTGTTTGGACTTCAAGCAAGTAGGTAAATGCAGCACTAATAAGTGCTCTTAATCCACAATTACGTACTTTTCAGTTCTCCTAATTAAATGACACATACAAAACTTTTTCTCTATTACGTATTCTTTTACTTTTTCCTTTTTAACTAAAGTATGACATTAGTTTAATATGGCAGGGCTGAACTATGATGGATATCGATTAATTATTTTTTTTTATAATAATATATCTGAATGAACAATTGGGCATACACAAACTCTCCAAAACTCTTTTTTTTTTATTTTAATAACGGTAGTATCCCAGCTAGCTTGATACATTTAGTCTATTTCAGTGAATATCGATCGATATCTTTTTATTGATAACAGTCACGAAAAACTTTATCGAGTAAATTGGTTTATATTAAGATCAAAATAGGCTTACTCAACCTCAAAAAATAGTTCAAGGGATGAGGATTGTCAAATTTGAGACAAATTTGCCCTTCTTGCACCCATCGATGTGGAATAATTCAATACCACCTAATCCACCCACTACAACAAAAATAACTTTTAGCGGCAATAAATATACACATTAATAAAGAGTGCTAAAGTCTTTACCGGCATTCGTTAAGTGCCATTAGATCCAATGTCGCTAAAGCATTTAGGAACATATACAAAGAGAGCTAATTGCCGCTAAAAATAAATATTTAACGGCACTTAAAAATCATTTTGATGTAGTGACCGCGATCAGACATGCAAACTTGAACGTAGGTAAAGGCTCAACATTGGGTGAAACAAGAAGTATTTGACTGAGCCCGACTCCAACAAAATGTTAAGAAAATAGACACTAAACCTAATTCAACCACAAAACTAGTTCAAAAGATGAAAACTATTCAAAATATATAAGGAGGCGAATTTGCCTAATATTCACCGATGAAGGATCAACAATTTAGGTAGATCAAAAAATTAGTCAAGTGAATCCATATATGATCTTAATTCTAATATTATTGACATCTAGACTATACTATTTCCTAATTAATTACAAGCGTAACAAATCATTAACTTTTAAATGACATGAGTAGTGACTACACAGTATATACCTAACGCAAAATTAAATGCTCCAATTTTCAAGTGTGAATACTGTTAAATTTACGATTATAATAAAACATACGATATTATGTGGCTATTTTCAAAGTCACACACGCATACACAAATATAGTCATAATATATTATTTAATTAGCTATTTACGTAACCCTAATTAATTTAAACATCTATCCTTTTTATTCTGATTTGGTGGATTTTTTATTTTAGAATTCTTTACTAATTATAAAGGATCTTTCTATAATTTTATTCTGACAAGCAACTTGAAATTGGTCTACATACACTTTGTTTTGACTAAAACCTCTGCTACTTACTTATAGGGAGGCATGATCTATAATTCTATATATTTATAATTTATAATTGATTAACCAAAGTTCTCAACTTTGTGGGAACGTAATGCAGAAATGTTCTTTAATTTGAGTGTCTATTTTAATAGTATAGTCTTTCTATTTTTTTTTTAAAATGACTTTTTTTTCTTTTAGTACTTTTTTAATTTTAACTTTCTGCATGACAGAAGAAATTTTATTGCTATAAATTACAATATCGTTCACTTAAAATTAAATTTTAAAAGTATGATAGTCAATTGATTATTTCTTAAAATATTTCCAAATTTAGTCTTTTAATTAATTGATTATTTCTTAACGGAAAACTCAAAACTAAAATTCTCGAGGTACGTACTCTCACGTGTAGTTTTAGCTGTAATGTTTTGTTCCAAGTGAATCATACTATATTTTGCTGCAACCTAAGGGAAGAACAATCCTCATATTTTAATTTTCTACCAATTTTTCTTCAGACAAGTTGATCAAATGTCTACGTTATTTTATGCACAACCCTACCTGCTTGGATCCTGTCATTCTTTTTTGTGCTTCACGATCAAATATTCTAAATTAGCTGACTCGATTAATTCAAATTTACAACACACCAAATAATACCAGTTAAATATTACTCCAAAGGATAAATTATAATTGAATTCATCATCTAAACTTCTAGAATTACTTTTTGAGTCTTTGACCCAAACGTTGTCTCCCCAAACTTTACTAACCGCTGGTTTGAATTTCTGACGGTATAGTTTCATTCAAAATTTGAAAAAGAGTTCTTTTTATTTTATTTTTCCGTATTAAGTTTTATTTTGATTCATATTAATTTATACTAAATTGATTCTCGTTGAGTTTTGTAATTAGGTGAAGACTGCAATTCATAATATTCTGCTTTGACGAATTACGTATCATCTAAGCTTACAGTACCGTTTTATATGATACATTAAGATATAATCTACATTAAGTGCAAGAATAGAATCACACTATAAAATAGCATTATAATTGATATGGTATAGCTGTATTTATTATCCAATGAATATGGAGGGTGGTTAGATTCAGCCCCTCCATTATCAATTTATCATTTGTCAAAACGCAATCACAAATTCTATGAATAGTAATATTCTTATTATTTTATCTTTGGCTGATTTAAATCTTCTAAATATACACAAATACATCGATAAGCAGAGCCACCCCTCTTTAATTCTTTCTATTTATCGATTTAAGTAATAGATATCTACTAGTGGCTAGCAGGAAAAATGAAAAGAACACCAAAACATCCCTAAAACTTGCAGAATTCGTTGATAATTAGAATAGATACGTAGATCACTCACACAGTACATTACTCTTGACTACTGATCAAATCCAGTTTTTTAACAGTCTTACTGAAACATGCTCAACGCGAACCGACAAGAGATACTAAACTCTGATAATAGAACAGGTCAAAACATATAAGTAGGCTACACTGGTAGGATATAAGTGGTACCACTAATTTCATCATCAAAAGAAGCCTCCCTCTACTCCACCGGGACTTTTCTTGTGGCTCTCCTAGAAGAATCTTCCCCTGATTCACTGACTTGCGCCACTGGTCCTGCATATCCATAGTACTCCAGAGCTGGATGTTCATAACCACCCAAACCCCTCCAATTTGCAAACTCATCCCACAAGCTGCTTATGGACCCTACACATGTTGAATAGAATGTCAAAATACTCTAGCAACATATCAGTGCAGTCTGGTTTACACAAGAGATTTAGCTCCTTCCGTCAACAGTAGCATTCTTGTGTCGAATTAGTTGAATACGTTATAACATGTATTATTGACTTC